CTCTCCAATCTGATATCCAATCTTTCGTCACCTACTCTTTCTCATATTCACTTTCAATTTTTCTCTTTTACATACCCTACCAAATTCATCCACCAACCTCTGCAACTTCTCTTCAGAATCTCCCAAAAGCACTGTGTCATCAGAAAAGAGCAACTGTGACAACTCCCACATTGTGTGTGATTCTTTATCTTTTAACTCCACGCCTCTTGCCAAGACCCTCGCATTCACTTCTCTTACAACCCCATCTATAAATATATTGAACAACGACGGTGACATCACACATCCTTGTCTAACGCCTACTTTTACTCCCTCTCTCCTACATACTCTAACCTGAGCCTCACTATCCATATAAAGACTCTTCACTGCTTTCAGTAACCTACCTCCTATACCATACACCTGCAACATCTGCCACATTGCGTTTCCCTATCTACCCTGCCATACGCCTTTTCCAAATCCATAAATGCTACAAAAACCTCTTTACCCTTATCTAAATACTGTTCACCTATGGTTTCACTGTGAACACTCGGTCTACACACCACTTACCTTTCCTAAAGCCTCCTTGGTCATCTGCTATCCTGGTCTCCGTCTCATTCTTAATTCTTCAAATATTAACTCTACCACACACTTTACCAGATATACTCAGCAGACTTATTCCCCTATAGTTTTTACACTCTATTTTGTCCCCTTTGCCTTTATACAAATAAACTATGCATGCTCTTTGCCAATCCCTAGGTACCTACCCCACCCTGTTCCATACATTTATTAAGTATAAATACTAGTAATTCCAAAACAATATCCCCACCTGCTTTTAATATATCTATCTTTTATTCATCAATCCCAGCTCCTTTACCCCCTTTCATTCTACCCACTACCTCATGCACATCCCCAACACTCACAACCAATTCTTTCTCACTTGTACAAGATGTCATTCCTCCTTGCCCCATACACGAAATCACAGCTTCCCTATCTTCTTCAACATTTAACAGTTCCTCAAAATATTCCCTCCGTCTCCCCGATACTCACTATTTATTAACTCTTGTCTCCCATTTTTACTATCAAATCCATTTGTTCCATAGGCTTTCTTAGCTCATTAATTTCACTCCAAAACTTATTCATATTTTCAACAAAATTTGTTGATAACATCTCACCCACTCTCTCATTTGCTCTCTTTTTATATTGCTTCACTACTCTCTTAACCTCTCTTTTTCTCTCCATATACTCCGCCCTCCTTGCATCACTTCTGCTTTGTAACAACCTCTCATATGCAAACTTTTTCTTTCTTAGTACTTTCTTTACATTCCACCAATCGCTCTTCTTCCCTCCCACCCCCACTTTCATGTAACCACAAACTTCTGATGAATGCTCTAACACCACATTTTTAAATTTACCCTATACATCTTCTACCCTATTGCCTATTCTCTCACTAATCAATTTATCCTCCAACAGTTGTTTATATGTTGCCCTAACCGCTTCCTCCCTTAGTTCATAAAACTTCACCTCTCTCTTACTTGCTGCTTCCAATTTCCATATATCCCATCTACCTTTTACTCTCAGTGTAGCTACAACTAGAAAATTATCTGATTTATCTGTGGCCCCTCTATAAACATGGACAGCCTGAAGTCTACCCAACAGTCTTTTATCTATCAATACGTAGTCAAACAAACTACTGTCATTAAGCCCTATATCGTATCTTGTGTGATTATTTATCCTCTTTTTCTTAAAATATTTATCAGCTATAACCAAATCTCTTTCTATACAAAGTTCAATCAAAAGCTGAACATTATCATTTACTCCTGGCACCCCAGATTTACCTACCACGGCCTCCCTAAATGTTTTTCCTATTTTAGCATTTAGGTCCCCTATCACAATTACTCTCACTTGGCTCAAAAGTTCCTACACACTCACTTAACATCTCCCAAAATCTCTCTCTCTCCACTACACTCCTCTCTTCTCCACGTTCATACACACTTATTAGGACCCACCTTTCGCATCCGTCGCTTATTTTAATCTACATTATCCTTGAATTTAAACATTTATATTCCCTCTTCTCTTTCCATTACTGAACCTTCAACATTACTGCTACCCCTTCCTTAGCTCTAACTCTCTCAGATACTCCTGACTTAATATCATTTATTTCTCCACACTGAATTTCCCCTACCCATTTTAGCTTTCTTTCGCTTGGAGGTAGGACATCCAATTCCCATTCATTCATAGCATTAGCAATCATTTCTTTGTCATCCACACTACATCCATGCACATTCAAACGTCCCAGATTTATAAAGTTTTTCTTTTCCTAATTTTTAGCAGTTTATGCATAAAAGGGGTTACTAACCCATTGCTCCCGGCATTTCAGTTGCCTTTTATGACACGCATGGCTTACGGAGGAAAGATTCTTTTCCAGTTCCTCATGGACAATAAGAGAAATCAAGAAGAACAAGAACTATAAAGAAAAAAAGAAGAAAAACCTTGATATGTGTATTTTTATATGTATGTGCATACCTGTGTAGTGTGATCTAAGTGTAAGTATAAGTAGCAAAATTGAAAAGGCAACACAGTAAGGGAATCATAATTATTACGAGTGAAAATTCAGTTGCCCCCAGGGATGCTGACACTGCTGAAGCACTTGAACGGAAGCACCCTGCCAGGGAAGCAAGGGGCACTAACAGTTCCAACACCTCTGTCTCCACTGTGGAACCATTGATTGTGCAAGACTCAGCAATTTAAAAAGCAGTAATATCGTTCCCATCCGGTATTGTTGGTGGTTACACTGGACTAAGGCCACAGCATTTAAAGTTATCGGGGAGATTGCAGAGACACTGCTTTCAGAGATCACAAGGTTCGTCAATAATTCCTTGGCTGGTCTGATTCCTAACAAAATTAAATCTTTATTTTTTGGTGCATGACTTTGTGCCCTTAAAAAGAAGGATGGAGGAATTAGGCCAGTTGAGGTAGGCAACACTTTTCGCCGCCTCGTTTCCAAAGTTGTTGTCCGAGGTATTCGCGCAGAGGAGGCCATGATGTTTCAATCAAACCAACTTGGCTTTGGGTTCTCTCAGGGAAGTGAATGAGCGGTACATGCAGCTAAGGCGTATATCAACAACCTTCCCGAGGACAATGCAGTGGTAAAATTAGACTTCAAAAATGCATTTAATCTCCTGAAAAGAGACGTGGCATTAGCAGCTGTACAAGAACATTTCCCTGGTCTCTTCCCTTTTGTTTCAGCTGGATATAGAAAGGAATCAATGCTCCAGTTTGGAGAGCATGAAATCACATCATCAGAGGGTGTCCAGCACCATTTCTCTTCTGTATAGCGGTTGGGGAAATCACAGTCAGACTGACCAGTGAGCTAAACATCTGGTTCCTGGATGATGGCACACTAGCAGGTACAAAAGAGGCCCTTCTAGATGACCTTACACAGGTAATGACACGGGGACGGGAAATGGGTCTCATCTTGAATCCATCCAAATGAGAGATCATCTCAGTCAGTCAACAAGTGATAGATGCAGTGAGATCAAAACTACCAGGAGCAGCAGTCATTGCCCCCACAAATAGTGTCTTGCTAGGAGCACCTCTGGGAAGTGATGCCATTGACAGAATTCTCAAGAAGAAACTGGAAGAGTTGAGGAGAATGAAGCAACGAATAGGCAATCTTGACACCCACGATGCCTTGTAGCTTCTCACAAAGTGCTTGAGTCTGCCCAGGTTGACATATTTCCTAAGATGGGCACCTTCATATGATATCCCTATACTGCACGAATATGACAGTATCCTGAGGCAGATTTTTATGAAAGTACTTAACCTTACTCTAGAAGACGGGCAGTGGAACCAAGCTACTCTTCCAGTCAGACTAGGAGGCATTGGTGTCCGCAAGTCATCACAGATTGCGCTACCTGCTTTCCTGTCCTCATGCGTTGCATCCAGTGAAGTTGTAGCAGCGATTCTCCCTGAACATCTTAGGGACAATGATAGAGTCCAGGACCAAATGTTCATTGACGGAGCCATGATCTGGGATAAACTAACGGGCTCTGAAACCACACCTGCTTCCCCCCAACAACTACAAACAGTCGCACTGGGATGGCTCAGTAGTGGAGAATATAGCCTCAACAATGCTTCAAAGTGTGTCAGGGAAGGATAGAGTCCGCCTCCTGACAGTGAGAGCTCCTCATGCAGGGGACTTTCCGTTGGCTGTTCCCAACTCCAGCCTTGGCACACGCCTCGACCCACAGACCATTCAGATTGGTGTTGCCCTTCGACTTGCCGCCCCTATTCTCGCCGAACACAGGTGTATTTGTGGCAGTGAAGCAGCTGACTGATTCGGGTACCATGGTCTTGTGTGCCGAGGGAAAGATTGCAAGACATGAGGAGGTTAATAACATTATCAAGAGGAGCCTCACAACAGCCGGATGCCCAGCAGTAAGGGAGCCACCCCAGCTATGCAGATCTGATGGCAGCCAGAAGCATCCAGATGGTATCACCCTTCAAGCCTTGACACACGGCAAGCAGGTGGTGTGGGACTACGTATGCGAATCTACCTTGGCTGATACCTATCTCCAATACACCAGGGAGGAAGGAGGGGCAGCCACCAGCTCAGGGAGTCCCAAAAGTCTAGAAAATATGGAGAACTTTCCCATCATTGTATGTTTGTTCCCATAGGCTCATGGGGAAAGAGTGCATCTAAGTTCCTTCAGGAGCTAGGCAAAAGACTCATCAGGGTAACTAGGGATCCCATGAAAGCTAATTTTCTGTTCCAGCGATTCAGCGCTGCTGTTCAGAGGGGTAATGCCTGCTGTATTTTGGGCACGCACCCCAGCTCTGAGGAGCTGGATCAGATTTTCGCATTATAATCAGTGACAAACACGTAACAATATGCACTAGTGCACTAGTGTCTAGTGCATATTGTTACGTGTTTTTAACTGATTATAATGCGAAAATCTGATCCGGCTCCTCAGAGTTGGATAAGATTTCTTGATACAATCAGATTTCTTGATACAAACACACAGCTAGAGGAGCGGCGGTGAGGATGAAGCTGCAACACATCTACAGCGGCGACATCTACCTCCTGGGCCCAGCCACTTGCGTGTGGTGGGACAACCTGAACGACGACTGGTCAGCAGCTGGTTGTTGGGTGGAGGAACAGACTGACCACTACACCCGCTGTGCCTGCGACCACCTGACAGACCTGTCTGTTCTCATGGATATATATGGTGTTATTAGTAAGAAGCAACGTGTAAGTTCATTAGTAAGTTGTTACTTGTAGATTGATTAGGAAATAATTATTTATTAGTTAATTAGTAATGAACTATGTATGAGTCGATTAATAAGGTGTTTAAAGTTGATTAGTAAAGAAACTACGAACATACAACAAGTATCACTGATATACATCAAGTATCACTGAGATACATCAAGTAACACTAAGATACATCAAGTAACACCGAGACACATCAATTAACACTAAGGTACATCAAGTAACACTAAGATACATCAAGTAACACTGAGACACATCAAGTAACACTGAGAGACAAGTAACACTAGGATACATCAAGTAACACTGAGATGCATCAAGTAACACTAACATACATCAAGTAAAACTAACATACATCAAGTAACACTAAGATACATCAAGTAACACTAAGATACATCAAGTAACACTAAGATACATCAAGTAACACTAAGATACATCAAGTAACACTAATATACATCAAGTAACACTAACATACATCAAGTAACACTAAGATACATCAAGTAACACTGAGATACATTAAGTAACATTGAGATACATCAAGTAATACTGAGATACATCAAATAGCACCGAGATACATCAAGTAACACTAACATACATCAAGTAACACTAACATACATCAAGTAACACTAACATACATCAAGTAATTCTAAGATACATCATGTAACACTAAGATACATCAAATAACACTAAGATACATCATGTAACACTAAGTTACATCAAGTAACACTGAGATACATTAAGTAACATTGAGATACATCAAGTAATACTGAGATACATCAAGTAGCACCGAGATACATCAAGTAACACTAACATACATCAAGTAACACTAACATACATCAAGTAACACTAACATACATCAAGTAACACTAACATACATCAAGTAATTCTAAGATACATCATGTAACACTAAGATACATCAAATAACACTAAGATACATCATGTAACACTAAGATACATCAAGTAACACTGAGATACATTAAGTAACATTGAAATACATCAAGTAATACTGAGATACATCAAGTAGCACCGAGATACATCAAGTAACACTGAGATACATCAAGTAACATATACAACAAGTAATTCTAAGATACATCAAGTAACACTGAGATACATCAAGTAACACTGAGATACATCAGGTAACACTGAGACAAATCAAGTAACACTAAGATATATCGAGTAACACTGAGAAACATCAAGTAACACTAAGATACATCAAGTAACACTAAGATACATCAAGTAACACCGAGACGCATCAATTAACACTAAGGTACATTAAGTAACACAAAGATACATCAAGTAACACTGAGATACATCAAGTAACACTGAGAGACAAGTAACACTAGGATACATCAAGTAACACTGAGATGCATCAAGTAACACTAACATACATCAAGTAACACTAACATACATCAAGTAACACTAAGATACATCAAGTAATTCTAAGATACATCATGTAACACTAAGATACATCAAGTAACACTGAGATACATTAAGTAACACTGAGATACATCAAGTAACATATACAACAAGTAATTCTAAGATACATCAAGTAACACTGAGATACATCAAGTAACACTGAGATACATCAAGTAACACTAAGATACATCAAGTAATTCTAAGATACATCAAGTAACACTGAGATACATCAAGTAACACTAAGATACATCAAGTAATTCTAAGATACATCAAGTAACACTGAGATACATCAAGTAACACTGAGATACATCAAGTAGCATATACAACAAGTAATTCTAAGATACATCAAGTAACACTAAGTTACATCAAGTAACACTAAGATACATCAAGTAACACTAAGATACATCAAGTAACACTAAGATACATCAAGTAACACTAAGATACATCAAGTAACACTAAGATACGTCAAGTAACACTGAGATACATCAAGTAACACTGAGATACCTCAAGTAACACTAAGATACATCAAGTAACACTAAGATATATCAAGTAACACCGAGATACATCAAGTAACACTGAAATACATCAAGTAACACTAAGATACATCAAGTAACACTGAGACACATCAAGTAACACTAAGATACATCAAGTAACACTGAGATACCTCAAGTAACACTAAGATACATCAAGTAACACTAAGATATATCAAGTAACACCGAGATACATCAAGTAACACTGAGACACATCAAATAACACTGAGATATATCAAGTAACACCGAGATACATCAAGTAACACTGAAATACATCAAGTAACACTGAGATACATCAAGTAACACTAAGATTACATTAAGTAACACTGAGACACATTAAGTAACACTAAGATATATCAAGTAACACCGAGATACATCAAGTAACACTGAAATACATCAAGTAACACTGAGATACATCAAGTAACACTAAGATACATTAAGTAACACTGAGACACATTAAGTAACACTAAGATATATCAAGTAACACCGAGATACATCAAGTAACACTGAAATACATCAAGTAACACTGAGATACATCAAGTAACACTCAGATACATCAAGTAACACTGAGACACATCAAGTAGCACTTAGATATTTCAAGTAACACTAAGATACATTAAGTAACACTAAGATACAATAAGAAACACTAAGATACATCACGTAGCACTATGCTACTTCTATACAATGTAAATTTCATTTCCAGATTTACCTTCGATGGATCAGCATTATCGGGTGTTCGGTGTCCATCGTCTGCCTGACTCTGTGTGTTCTCTGTCTCTCTCTGGTGATCAGATCAAAAAAGGTATGGCTGGGTTGTGGGCGGTTGTGTCCAAATAAGAACATAAGAATAGAGGAACACTGCAGAAGGCATACTGGCCCATACAAGGCAGGTCCTTATTAAAATGAGCTCTACCCAAAGCTACCCAAGAATTTGCTCCCGTACCAAATGACACAAATCAAACCCAGCCCCTCCCACTCGTATATTTGTCCAATCTCTTTTTAAATCTGCCCAAAGTCCTAGCCTTTATCACCACACTGGGAAGATTGTTCCACGCATCTACAACTCTGTTAGAAAACCAGTACTTACCCATGTTCTTTCTAAATCTAAATTTATCCAGCTTAAATCCATTATTTCAGGTTCTTACCTGGTTCGACACCCTCAGTACTTTATTAATATCTCCTTTGTTTATGCCCGTCATCCACTTATACACTTCAATGATATCTCCCTTCACTCTACGTCTCTCCAGACAGTGGAGATTTAAGCCTTTAAGTCTGTCTTCATACGGGAGATTTCTTACACAGTAAATAATTTTAGCCATTCTTCTCTGTATGTTCCCCATTGAGTCTATATCCAGGCATAATCTAAATGAGGCCCCACTAGTGATGTATAGAGCTGCAAAATAACTTATGGACTTCTGTTACTTATACTTCTTGAGATAAATCCAAGTAATCTGTTAGCCTTGTTGTGCATACTTAGGCACTGCTGTCTTGGCTTTAGATTTCTGCTTACCATGACTCCCAAGTCTTTTTCACATTCTGTATGACCAAGCTCTACTTCACATAGTTTATAGCTTTGAGGGTTATTTTCATTACCAAGGACTAGTACCTTACACTTATCCACATTGAACTTCATCTGCCATTTTTCAGACCAAGACATTAATTTGTCCAAATCCTCCTGGAGTTCATTGCTATCCTCCTCAGAATGAATCATACGGCCTATCTTTGTATCATCAGCAAATCTGCCATGTCACTCGTAATCATTTCATCAAGGTCATTAATGTAAATTATGAATAAGAGAGGGCCTAAAACTGATCCTTGTGGAACGTCACTAGTGACTAATCCCCATTCAGATTTGACCCCATTAATGGAAACTTTCTGCTTTCTATTGGTAAGCCATGCCTCTATCCATGCTAGAATTTTGTCTCCTATACCATGAGCTGCCACTTTTCTTAAGAGTCTCTTATGAGGTACTCTATCGAAGGCTTTACTAAAATCCAAATAAACAGTATCATATTCTTTATCACTGTCTACTGCCTCAAATGTTCTATTGATGAACATCAGCAAATTTGTCAGGCAGGAATGACTTCTTGCGAACCAATGCTGAGATTCATTAGTCACATTATGCTCTTCAAGGTGACTTCTAATAATGTCAGCTATAATTGATTCTAATAACTTGTCCACTATAGATGTCAGGCTTATTGGACGGTAATTTGAAGGAACGAACTTATCCCCTGATTTGAATATAGGAATCACATTAGCCATTTTACACAACTCTGGTACAACACTAGTAAGGATGGACGCATTAAACACACTCGTTAATGGCTGACTAAGTTCCATCTTGCATTCCTTAAGTACCCTGGAAAACAACTCGTCAGGCCCCGGGGACTTATTTTGCTTCAGTTTGTCTATCTGTTTGATAACTATGTCCCTCGTGACACTAATGTTAGTTAATTTGAATTCGTCAGGAACTGAATAATTGTTAATTTCTGGAATCTCGTTTATGTCTTCCTGTGTAAAAACTGACAAAAAATAGTCATTAAATAAGGAACACATTTCCAGTTCGTTATCCGTCAGCTGTCCATTCCCAATTTTCAGAGGTCCTACTTTTTCCTTCATCTTCGTCCTATACACTTGAAAGAACCCGTTTGGATTGGTCTTTGATTCACTAGCAACTCTAATTTCATAGTCACGTTTAGCCTTTCTAATTCCCTTTTTTACTTCTCTTTTAAGCTGAACATATTGGTCAGTAAGGTTAACCTCTCCTCTTCTGATGCGCCTATAAATTCCCCTTTTCTCCTCTAATAGATGCTTTAACCTACTGTTAACCCATTTGGGATCGTTATTATTAGACCTAATTTCTCTCTGTGGAATATATATACTCTGAGCACGGTGTACATTATTAAGTAAAAAATCATAAATGGAGATCCCTTCGTAATCATGAGTATGATCATCGTCAATAACATCATTAGCTAGATAACCCCAATCGAGATTAGACAGGTGTTCCCTAAGTCCATTGTAATCCGCCGAACGAAAAACAGGGATTTTTACCGTATTATCATTATTCTTGTATTCCCAGTTAATGCTAAAAGTGATGGATTTGTGATCACTTGCGCCAAGCTCTTCAGTGATCCCCAGATTATTTACGAGTGTTTCCTTATTTGACAAGACTAGGTCTAGCAAATTATTACCCCTGGTAGGCTCTGCTACACACTGCTTTAGAAAACAGTCCTGAACTGCTTCCATAAAGTCACTGGACCCCAGATTACTGGGCAAAGAAGTCCAGACAATTTGACTAAAGTTAAAAATCCCCTACTATCACTATGTTATTGTGTCTAGAAGCCCTAACAATTCCGTCCCAAAGAAGTCTCCCTCTATCGTGATCCAAGCCTGGAGGTCGGTATATTACACCTAGAATTAGTTTTTCTTGACCTTCTACAAACCCTACCAAAACAGATTCTGTTACTATTCCATCTATTTTTATACCTGTTTTTATGCAACAATTAATATTTTCTCGAACATATAATGCGACTCCTCCCCCCTTCCCATTACTTCTATCCACATGGAACAACTTAATCCCTTAAACCCCCGACTCTTTAAATCATACCATGTTTCAGTTAATGCAATGACATCAAAGTTCCCAGAACGCGCTACCAAACGTAGTTCATTAATCTTATTTCTTGCACTTCGACTGTTAGCGTAAAATACCATCATATGTTTTTTCTTCTGCACATTTTTTCTATTCACTTTTGCTTTTACACAATTTCTGCAATCATCATTACCCAGAGTTGCTCCATGACAGGTACTATTAAGATTCACGATATCAAATCCTAAGTCAATACATCCATACTTATTATTTTTCATTTCTAAACCAATATCTCTAACTAATCCTAGTTTAAAGTCCTAACAACCCCCTCAACTAAGCTAGTAAGAAAACCCACACCTGCCCTGGATAAGTGAACCCCATCCCTGGCATACATGTCATTACGGCCATAGAAGTGGTTCCAGTTGCCAATGAATGGTACTGTATTATCCTTACAGTGTTTGTTTAATACCAATTGCTCTGGACAACCATTCATTTCCAACATTCAGTACAACGTTCATTTCCGCTGGGTGCGGCTCTCTTAAGGATTGATTGGTCCCGTGGGTAAAGGCGTCCTGAGTTTTCGCCTACCATGAGGCAGGCCAAAGCAGCATGGGTTCGAGTCCTTGGCTAGTGCAGTGTTGTTATTGATCAATACCACTCGTTCGTGATCACAATAATATATATATATATATATATATATATATATAATATATATATATATATATATATATATATATATTATTATATATAATATATATTATATATATATATATTATATATATATATATTATATATATTTATATATATATATATATATATCAATAAACAACACTGCACTAGCCAAGGACTCGAACCCATGTCGTACTGACCCACCTCATGGTGAGCTACTGTCTCATGATGACTTAACCCAGTGAACCACCCAATCCTACAAAGATGGTGCAGCCAGCAGAGCTAGCTGTTTTACAGCCATCCGAGGACCTTCGGTGTCGTGGGAGCTTCTAAGGATGAGAATGAACATTAGCCTAGAAGCTCCCTCGACACCAAAGGTCCTCGGATGAACAGCTAGCTCTGCTGGCAGTGCCATGTTTGTAGGATTAGGTGGTTCTGTGGGTTAAGGGGGCTGTAGGGCAAAATCTGTAACTCTGTTGTTAGGCATCATGAGGTTGAAGCTCACCATGAGGGGGGCCAGTACAACAGGAGTTTGAGTCCTTGGCTATTGCAGTGTTGTTATTGATCAATACTACTCGTTTGTGGTTGCAATAACATATATATATATATATATATATATATATATATATATATTATATATATATATATATATATATATATATATATATATATATACATACAGTGGTCCCCCGCTTTTCGTAGTTCCCGGCAATCGTAAAATTCGCCAATCATAGAGGTATTTTCGTATAAACATGGACTCGCTTTTCATAGGTTGACTCGCGAGTCGTAGTTCGTCCGGGACGCGTACCCACGGCGTGAGCCAGGGCGGCAGCCAGTCTAGCATTGTTTACCAGTGAGCAAAGGTCCCCTCATGTGCTCCAGCAAAATATTTCATAATATTCCATTTATTTTAGTGCTTGCAAGTACTAAATAAGCTACCATGGCTCCAAAGAAAGCTCCTAGTGCCAAGCCTGTGGTAAAGAAGGTGAGAAATACGATTGAATTTAAGAAAATCATCATTGAACAATATGAAAGTGGTACAAGTGTGGCCGAACTGTCCAGGATGTATAAGAAACTCTACACAACCTTATGTTCCATAGTGGCCAAGAAAAAGGAAATAAAGGATGCTGTTGTTGCGAAGGGAGTAACTATGCTGACAAAAATGAGATCACCAGTACTGGAAGAGGTTGAGAAGTTATTATTGGTGTGGATAAATGAGAAACAATTAGCAGGAGATACTCTTATGACTTCGATTATTTGTGAAAAGGCTAGTGAGTTGCATGAAGATTTGGTAAAGAAATTGCCTGCAAATAGTGGTGAAGTGAGTGAATTTAAGGCCAGCAAAGGCTGGTTTGAGAGATTTAAGAACCGTACTAGCATACTAGTGGTAAGGCATGGTGAGGCTGCCAGTTTGGACCACAAGGCGGCTGAAAAATATGTGCATGAGTTCCAGGAGTACATAGAGGCTGAAGGACTGAAACCTGAACAAGTGTTCATTTGTGACGAAACAGGCCTCTTTTGGAAGAAAATGCCAAAGAGGACCTTCATTA